CAGCAGAACTTCCAGACTAGGGAGGAAGAAAGTTATTTATTTCTGAAAATAAGCCAATGTAAACCTTTTGGGTCACATCAGAATATTGCTCAGTACAGTGATGGAAGCTAAACCCAAACATAATGCATGGTGACGAGGTGGTGTAGGAGCAGGCAATATTTCATTCTCTGGAAGGTCATTATGCATCCCAGCTGTCTCAAAAGCAACTAACACACGTGAGAGCTAGGAAGTGGCACAACCAGCGTTGTGCAAATTCAGGTTTGTTTATTTTTTTGGTCCCTAAAACCCTAAACCTAGGTCCTTTTCACTATGCTATAGATCTTCTCCTTGAACCTGATATTGTAAGAATGATGTCACAAACAGTGAAATGGTAGTTTTAATACACCCAGAGGTGCCTCTAAAACCTGATGATCTGGTTCGGAAAAGTCACAGCTTTGAAAATCCCATGGAGCGATTCTGTCTGGAACACCAGGAGTCGCTACGAGCCGGAAATGACTCGGTGGCAACTGGTAACAGCCTGTGGTGCATGGCGTGTGAATTGCGGTGGGGACGCAGAAGGGCCTCCTCCTGAAAAAGATCATGTAAACCCTGATAGGTTTACGTTGCAGTTTTTCCGGTTTTATGGGGACTTTGAAATTAAAACTGAACCATCACTGCCACCACAGCATCATGTAAATATCTTGAAAGTCAAAAATATAATCATAGACTTCATGATAAATCCGTTTCTAAGACAGATACAGTATTTAATTGTGAGGCTATTAGGCCCTGATTCTGGATGCTTTTCTTAGTACCTCTGACATTAAACTCCAACTAAACAACTAAAATTTTATTTGGTGGAGTAAGATTGAGAGCTCTCCTCTTGGAATTGTTAAGAAGACAAGGGCGCTTGCTTTCACTACTTCTGTTCAGTACTGTATTAGAAATCCTAGCCAGAGCAATAGCACAAGCAAAAGAAATAAAAGTTATCTGGAATAGATTTGAAAAATCATGGGAAAAGACCACAAGGTGTTTCTACAGAATCAGAGAAGCCTTTGTTAAGCAAAAATATAGAAATGAAAATATTGTTTCCTGCCATAGCTTCCATCTACATCCGTGTGCTTCTAAAGGCAGTGCCCCTCTCTGACAGGTCTTGGGAAAATCCTGCACTTTTAAGTCCACACCACTGAAAAACAGGAGTTTGAGCATCCTTGAGAGACTCAAGTTATTTTCCTTTTCTGTGCTCTTTGAGTTTGGGAGACAAAGGAAGTCTGAAAGGGTAAGGCAAGGGCTTTAGGGCGGGCGGAGTAGGTTTCCCAACAAAATTGTGGTTGGTAGTATTTGCCGCCCTCAGAGAATGAGCAGGTGCACTACTGTGATGGGGGGGGGAGGGGGGTTCTCAGTGCTACTTTCCTGCCACTTTCCTTCCCATGCAGTTTTCAGTTTCCTAGAAGTGTCTTCATAGTAAGCACCGGTGGTAGTCCTGTATCCTTTGAGAAAATCTGAAAAGATTCCCCCTATGAGGCCCTTCCATCCCCACCCCTACCCCAAAAATGTTACCCTGACCTTCTGAGGACCTCTCTGCCTTGTTTGTCACTTGGAAGTCTCTCTGTTGATGGGACCTTTTCTTTGAAGGTACCCTAAGGAGGATGAGATGGGCATATTATTGTCGGCAGCCACCCACCCACCACAGAGACATGTTTAAACACATTCCATTGTAAATAGACTCGTGCAGATATAAACTAGAATTCTCCCAGGACACTGGCACCATGTGAGGTTAATGGATCCCTGAAGCGATAGCCCTGAGTTAATCTTTAAATCTTAAAAAAAAACTCCCCAGATCAGCTTAAAATTGAATAATAGTTGAGCTAAACTAGTGAAAAAATGTCTGTCTTGAGCATTACGCTCTCTCCAGAACTGTCTTATTATCTATTGGGGATCACAATGATGACAGCAACCTGAAAGCTTGGATAGAAACCCTAAGGTGCGGTGAGTGTGTGTTAATGAGGGAGGACTAACTCAGGAAAGGAGGGGGACACCGCAAAGATTGTAATCAATGTCCTACACCTGTAGACATCCTGACATCAGCATGTGTTTACGCTCAGTAACAGCAGTACAAGGAATGCAATGTGTTGCTCTTGTTGATAGGTGCCGGCTCTACTTACAGGGACAGGACAAGACACTGCCCAGTCCTGCACCCTCCTTATCAGTGTTCTGTCCTTTGAGCCGCTTCTTGCAGCCACTGTGTCAATCCATCTTGTCAAGATCTTCCTCTTTTTTGCTGCCCACCCTGCTACTTTACTATGCATGCTGTCCTTTTCCAGGGAGAGTAAAATTTAGGGGGTCAAAAAAGTACACGAACTAAAATCCATCTCAACAACTCATTCTATGGCTGGGTATTTGTAGGCCTTACATGGCTATGTATTAATGTGAACCACACAAAGCTGCCAATTTTGTAGGCAAAAGGGGCCAAATATTAGAGATTTCATATGTCACCAACATGTTAAAAGCAAATCTGCTGTTCTGTCCCATTCCTTCTTTTCTTCAGCTCTGTCCTCAAGAGTCCCTGAGTGGTACCCAGGGTAAGTGAACATGCGTATCTGCTAACCGAAAGGTTGTAGGTTCGAGTCCACCCCAGGGTTGCCTTGGAAGAAAGTCCTGGTGATCTATTTCTGAAAAATCAGCCATGGAGGGTACTATGGAGACAGTTGTTCTTTAGCAGATTGGGGGCACCAACCTGGCCTTGTGCACAGAAAGCAAGAGTTCTACCACTGAAGCACCATGGCCCTCACTTTTCCCAAACAGAGTCATTCGATCAATATTCCCTGGTGCCGTGATACATCTGTTTGATTGGAGATGAATCAACCCGCAACGACCACACCAAAAAAGAAGAAGAAGAAACTATGCTTCAAGGATTCCTAAGAAACAGAATCCGTTAACAAAATTATCATCTAGCCTTCCAATGCAATCCAACCTATCAAAATGCATCTGTCTTTGCAAGTGGCTGGAGAGTATTTCCTAAAATTCAAATTGACATCCCCAGAATTATAAAGAATGTGTATCCAGGTTACATTACCCAGCACTAAATTGCTGCTCATATAAAACTGATTACACTAAGCACCTTGTGAGAGATGTGAATTACTATTTAAGCCAATTTTATGTAAATAAAATTTATGTTGTCTCTCTAGCATATGAAGCTGAATATGTCAGAAAATTAAAACCTCCTCTACTTTATGTGGTTGGTAGGAGGATTCCTTGGGCCTGGTGGATGTCTTCCCTGCCTTTGCTCTGCTCTTCACTTCAGCCATGCCAGTGCAGGTGAACATACAAGGGTGGCTAGCTGGTTGTCTAGGAGTTCCAGGGTGGTGAAAACAGTTAAGGCAAATGACTATTCACTGAAAGGTTGCCCATTCAAGCCCACATAGAGGCCCCTTTCAGAAAAGTGCTGGCCATCTGCTTCTGAAAGGTCACCGCTATGCCAATCCTGGGGAGCAAAGTTGTGCTTTGCACACATGGGGCCACCATGAGTCAGAGTTGACAGATGATACTGGTAGGTAGTTAGCCAAGGTTGGGCTGGTAACTTTCTGACAAAACAGGACAATGAGCTCGCTCTCATCCTTTCCCAGTGTTTTAGTCAATACAGCTGGACTCACTCCATGAGAGAAGGGGTTCAGGGAGCCTTCCCAGATGTGTCCCTCTGAGCAATGACTTTTAGCAGTAGGTGGCATCCAGGAGATAGATTCCCACTGCTGTCACTCAGTGATGTAACTGTGGAAGTGCTTCAAAAGTGGGGAGGTTTGAGTCCATCCAGGAGGAGGGCCTATCGATCTGTTGCTGAACACCCTGTGGAGAGCAGCTCTCCTCTGACATAAGTGAATGGGAGCTCTGTGAGTCAGAGTTGACTGGTGCGGTTGAAGCGGCACTTACTGGGTTTTGTAGTATCAGTGTTATAGTGCTTCCCCTCTGCTCTTCGAGTCTGCTTCCAGGGTGCAGGACCCCTCCCAGGAGTCGCCAAAGGCCCAACTGTCACCCCAAACTTGCTCTATCTTCTTTCTTCTGCTGAAGGGGCATGCATGCAGAGCAAGAGCTGTAGAGGGAAGCTCATCTCGATTTGGAGCTATTCTGATGTCAGTCATTTCTCATGAGAGAGAGAGATGTAATCTATCATGTTAGACATAGTTAGAAGGCTCCCATCCTATCACAGGTGATGTGGGCTTCCATGGATGGATTCTCCAGGGACTCCTCCCTAAGGATTATCCCCCTGTCCCTCACTTCTGAGCACATTTTGTTTGAAAAACTGCCCCATCAACAAGACATGGTGACCAGCATAAGTACTTACTGCCCATTGACTGTGTGCCAGGTACCAGCCCAAGCCCCATGCCTACAATATCAAATTCAGCTCTTACAACAGCTCCATGAGATGAGTACTATCATGTCATGTTTCATATAAGGAAACTGTACCCACGGATGTCAAGTAAATACCCACTGTCGTCCGTCCGTCCCCCCCAGCTGCTGGGAATGACATGCTGTGTGTGCTTGGCCTAGACATACTGCAAGGAATCTGGTTAAGATTGTTGGTGATGCCCTCTGGGCTTGTCCTTTGGGCTCTTTGTGGAAGATCTATTTTCCTATCGATAATTTCTAAGAGAGTTGTTTTACTGGAAACAGAGAATATAACAAATTGGTTTTGTAAGAACTTCATGACAAAGCCACCAATCACATAAATAAATGTATTGTATTATATTGCATTATTCATTACAGAACATAGATGGAGGCTGACCATACATTTGATTGTGTGTGTGTGTGTGAGTGAATTGTATTCCATTGTACTCCATTCATTCTGTTTAACCAAGAGTTATTTATGTCAACCTAGTCTTAATAATAAGGTTACAAAACTGGTCAAGCTTCATGTTTTCCTAAGCAACCCACACCCCATAAGCTCCCAGCCCATCTCATATGAACATGAGCATCATCTGTTCTCTGTTATTATTTTTTTAAGGGTCTTTTAAAAATTGTCTCCACAGGATCTTCTGAAGACAATGCTGGATTTCCAGAAACTGGGGAAACTTGAGTTTAGTGGCATCCGCGGGAATGCCCTGAGCCAGCAGGTCCAGAGAATGTATGCTGAATTTCAAGATATGTCCAGGGTCTTCTCTGAGTCCTCCTATGACTGCTTGGACCCCCAAAGCAGGGTAGGACCTCGCCCAGACCAACTTGTCAACCTTCTCTCTTTGCCAGATGTCTCCTGTAGGGCCTGGGACTTTGCGTGCATTTTTCCTGTGGCTCCAGTTATCCTATCAGTGGGGACCCTCTTTTAACTACCTTCTGTGTCAGGAGAACATTTAGGGAAAACTGCTTTCAACAGAACCACTTGCAAGGCTGTCAAAGGGGGTTAGCGGCATTAGAATGGCCATGGGACAGTGTTGTCCTGGGGTCTCTAAAGCCTTTCAGCTGCCCACAGACTGCCCCGTGAAGAGCAGGCCCAATGAGACAGAATTTTATTTGTGTCTTGGGAAGGAGTCAGTGTGACTGCAGCCTCGTGTTTTTAGTCGGTCTGACAAGGAAAGGGCCAGATAGGCAATGATGTAACCCCTGGGCCTACACCTCAGCTGGAGCCTGGGAAAGCTGAGACCTGAAACCAGGTCAGCCAGTGAGCACAAATGCACAGGATAAGGAAGCAAGAGGAGAGAGATTAGGGTAGGACTCTGCTCTGAGAAACTTCAGCTACCCTTGAAGTTCTTTGCTGGCTCAAGCGCAAGGAGATAGTGCTTCCTAAAAACCCCACTGCTGAGAAGTACAGAAAAGAGGGGGGCTACAAAGCAGGGCACGTGCCACGTCTCTGTGGCCGCCTCATAGACCAGAACAACCACAGGCAGAAACGCACCACGATGTAGATGTGGCTGGATTTGGAAAGTAGAACTACATTTTGTTTTCTTGATTTTCTTTCTTTGGAGTAAGAATATGCACCGCTCTTATAAATCAGACACCATAATGGTAATTCCACATATTAGAGAGTTGCAGTAACAAAATTTCTTTGAAAATGACCTATATTCTAAGAAGAGGAACATACTATACATAGGGTTTTAGCAAATAAGATACATTTGGAATGTATTTATACTAACAAATTAAATTATTCAGTGTTTGCCTTGAGGCTCAAATATAACGGAGTGTCCTCTAGCTTTACTTGCTAAATTCGGAGCCTTCAAGTGGCTGCTGACTTAACCAGTTAAGGTGTATTTCGAAGAAATACAGCCCATTACACACCGAGTCAATTCTAACTCATAGGTACCCTAGATAAGAAGTAGTGTGCATTTATTTATTTTGACTATGTTAAGAAGACTTAGCAGTGGGAAGAAGGACTTCAGCAATTCTGGAAGAGCCCAGTGGTAGGGCCATTGCTACTGAGGTGGCTTCTGGGAAAGGACAAGGTAGTACGATGGCTGAGGGAGAAGGGGCTTTGGAACCTGGCAGCTAGGGACGTGGGAAGACAAGTGTAAGGGCACTGACTCTGGGTCCACAGTTCTACTCTTGCCTAGAGTCTCCAGAGGGGAAGTAAGGTATTCCGTGTTGAAAAACAGCCATGCCATGGTGAATTTTAGAAAATGAAAATGAATGTTTAGTAGAACCAATTCTAGTTCCTATGTCATTCCTAAAGTGAATGGTGCAATTGGAATTCAGAAAGTAATTGTATTCCTGCTTCCACGTGGTGTCTCTTTAGGAATTTGAAGATGACATCTCTGGCTTTAACCAGAGAGTAGAAGACCTCGACCGGAGATTGGGGACTATCTTTATTCAAGCCTTTGATGATGCATCTGGTTTGGATCATGCCTTTAAGGTTTGTGAAAGTAGGGAAGTGGCCAGTTCTGGGGTTGATATTTTCCCAACTTTCATTCCTGCAAATGAGTCTGGTCGAAGGGCCTGAATGACAAATGGTTGAATGCTCACTCGCTAGCTAAAAGGTTGACAGTTCGAACCCCACCAAGAGGCGCCTCGGATGACAGGCCTGCTCATCTGTTTTTGTCTGGTCACAGCCTTGACAGCTGTAGGGAACCCAGTTTTATGTGGGGCAGCAAAAACAGCATTCTCCTGGAAGTCAAGGTCGTGTGAGGGGCTAAGGCAGAGGAATGTCCAGCCTGAACTTCTCAGTCTGGCTGCTTATGCTTTTCTGAAAACATGACAGGTAAAAATGCTTTCCCAAAGAGCACGTCTTCTGGAACACCCTCTTTGGATTCCATGCCCCAGAAGGTTACCCATTCAAAGTGAGAAAGTCCATTGTGGTTATATCTGGAAACCATGACTGTGCACCACAATGAGTATTTAGACACTGTTTGATTTGAGTGGTTCTGGTGGCCCCCTGGGAAAAAGCACCAGGCTGCTAACCCAAAGGTTGTTAGTTCGGACCTACTAGCTGCTCCACAGAAGAAAGCTGTGGCAGTCTGCTTCCATAAACATTACAGCCTTGCCACATCCTATTCTGTTCAGTAGAATCATAATTATTGGATCTGCCTCAATGACAATATTTATTGTTTGATTATGTTGCTGTTAGATGATGAAAACTACTTACCAGGCAATTAGATGGAAAGAACTAGAATCAGAAGACTTGTGCTCTTGCCCTGTTAGCACAGATCAGATGGTGCAAGGAGTATGGAGGATAAGATTCAGTTTGATAAATAGATACTTGGTTGGACAACTGATAATCTTGAACTTTGAGACACGAAGACTTAGTAGAGCATGATAGGTCTTCTAAAAACTATGAAGAGACTGCTGTAAAACTTAAATTATTAGAACCAGAATTAATCAGTGGAAGTTAAAAGGAGGAAACGTTGGTGTCAAAAGAGGAACCACTCTGTCCAAGCTATTTAGTAAGAAATTGAGAATGTCCAAACATAGACTGAATATTTGGAGGGAAATTGTAGAAGAGACTTCAACTCTAATAGGGTGAATCAATCTGAGGGGCAGAGAGGGAGGGAGATAGAGAGAGAAAATGACCTTTAACAAATACTTGACCTCCACGGTTCATAGAAAAGGACCTTAGGGGTTTCTCTCCCCAAGATTTTAAACTGATTTTATTGAAAGGTCTCAGAATTGTCTACAAAATAGTTTCATTTGTCATTATCTGTCATGGATAATTGAAACTCTATCATGTTTATAGACAATTTGAGAAATTCATACACCATCCGTGCCTTGAGGATTTTCTGCCCTGGTCTTCCTATAAACCCCTCTGCACCCCAAAGGAATTCCTCACATGCGTTCTCTGACCCTGAGGAATGAAGCTTAGAAAATATGTGTTCAGATACATATCCAAAGCCTCCCTTTTGAGTACTTTCTGCGCTGGGAAGGTGACAGAAGGAGTCTATCTGCT